TCTTTTTGTCGGCACAGATATGGCGAGTAGCACCAGTGTCCACCCACCATTCTTTAGGATTTCCGATAAGATTAGCCTCAGAATCAACTGCAGAAAGATTGATGTCATCGACATCATTGGAAATATTGTCCACTTCAGTCATGTGGGCTTGAGCAGGCTTCTTGCTTGTTCTTCTTTTGCTTTTGCCTTTGCTACGTCAATCTTTGACCCGATGTCCCCCTTTGTCACAGATGTAACATTTGCCATTAAACTTATACTTTTTATTTGCCCCCCCTTTAGAGCCTTGTGATGAACTTTCTCCAGAAGACTTTCGTTTCTTGGTTTTTGAAGCATGTTCCACCACATTTGCCTTAGACTTCATAGGAAGCTTACCAGCCCGCTTTCAGAATTGCGGTTTTCCTCCTCAATCCTCAAACGCACAATTAACTCGTCCATAGAAATTTCTTTGCACTTGTGTTTGAGGTAGTTCTTGAATTCCTTCCAGCCTTTTGGTAATTTTTCAATTAAGGCTGCAACTTGAAAGGATTCACTGAGAGACATACCTTCTGCGTGAATGTTATGCAGGATGAGTTGGAAATCTTGAGCTTGGTTGATCACAGTTTTTTAATCAACCATTACAAAATCCAAGAATCTGCCAACTACAAATTTCTTTGAGCCGGCATCTTCCGTTTTGTACTTTTTCTCCAACGATTCCCAAAGTTCCTTTGCTGTCTTGATTGGACTGTAGACGTTGTATAATGTGTTGTCAAGTCTGTTCAAGACGTAATTTCGGCAAAGGAAATCGGCATGTTTCCAGGCATCAACCGCAGCAACTACTTACCGGTCGGTTTCATCCTCTTTCAGGATAGGAGCATCTTCACGGAGGAAACGAGCCAGGTTCAGAGTTGTAAGATAGAACAACATTTTCTGTTGCCATCTTTTAAAGTCAGTTCCTAAGAACTTCTCTGGCTTTTCACCGTGATTTACCGGTACTGTTACAACAGGAGAGGGGGTTGGCGTCATTGCAGCCACCACAGTAGTACTTGTTTGGGCATTTGTTTCAATAGCCATCAATTCTAATATATAAAACAAAATTATAATTAGAATTTCTACTACACAGAAAATTAAACCAAATTCACAGAATTAAATTCTGTAAAAATAAAAGAAACAAGAACGTAACTTTTATTTTCCAATCAATTTGAAAATAAAATAAAATTTTATTTAAACAAATTAATTCCACATAGAAAATTAAATTCTGTAAAATAAAAGAAATAAAAACTATAAATTTTATTTTTCAATTAATTTGGAAATAAAATAAAATTTTATTTAACCAAATTAATTCCACACAAGAAAATTAATTTCAGTAACACTTCAATAATTAAAATACTGAAACAGAATTTTAATTAATGAGAACTCAGAAAATAATTTCTAAAACCCAAAATTAATATCTGAAAAAATTTC